CCCAGTTATACCGTAGAGCTTCCAACCGAATTTCACTTTCTCCAGGTTTTACCAGCTGCAAAAGAAGGGAGGAGACAAGAGTTAAACAGGTAGAGAACTAGCTTCAGCTCAGGAAGTAAATGGACAAAACAGAGCAAGGAACGCGTAAGAATGACGAGAGGCTGCAGCAAAAAGCACCTTGTCAGACACACTTGATCTTGGTCTCCAAGTTGGCCCCTTCGCCTGATGGGTCCTCTTGCATCTTTTTGGTGTAGCCTAGGCAGACCGTGAAGGTTTGGTGTGATCGCTCAAGCCAAAGTATAAGTAAGGGGTGGGGCAGACACGTCGCATCTTGGAGAATGCCAGTGCCCGTGTGAGTCCAGCCTGTCCCCGCATTCCTAGAAGAGCTGCAGCTTTTCAAGTGTTCCCAGCAGGAGACCAAGATGCACAAGTGAAACCAGAGCTCACCATAATCACCGACTCCTTGGCCCCTTCCCTTTGACTGACGGGTCCTTTTCTGGCACCCTCTCAGGTATCCCCGCCCAATCACTACTAAACCACGGAGAAGTGGAATCTCCGTACAGCTTTCCATGAGTCTAGCAGGAGCCTGGGCATGCTCAGTAGGCTACGTGGTTCTCTGGTTCTCTCTCTCTCTCTCTCTCTCTCTCTCTCTCTCTCTCTCTCTCTCACACACACACACACACACACACACACACACACACACACATACACACACACCTCTCTCATCTCTCTCTCTCTCTCTGATGGGGAAGAGAGGGTGGTGACAAGTTAGAAGCGCTTGCTGCAGGTCCCCGCCCCCAGGATCCGCTCCCCGAGCAAACGGAAGATGCAAAGGTAGAAGCATCCCTCTCCGCAGCATCAAGACCTGGAGGGGCTGCGCCCACGGGCCGAGCCCACCCATTCCCCAGCCAAAGGACGGGCCCGCCGCTCTCCATGGTACTGCGGAGAGCTCAGCTCCGCCCTTCTCTTTCAGAAGGACAGCACCCGGCGTCACGTAACCCAGCCTTCTCGGGCTTCACCGCCGCCTCTTCCTTCCCAGCTCTTTCCCTCTCCTCCTACTCCTCCTCCTCCTCCTCCTCCTCCTCC